GGTCCCGGTCTGGTATGGGCGCGACACTGAGGGTTGCGATCCATTGCCAGTCACGAAAAAAGACAAAAAGGAAAAAAACAAAAAAACAAAAAAACAAAACTACTAAGTAAATGAAGCGCTAAGTGTTTAGTGATTTAAAAACTGCTATGTTTTTCCCAAAATTGTAGCGTCTTATAGTTCAGCCTCTTAAAGTGAATTTCATATTTTGTTGGGGATTTGGCTGTTTGAATAAAATCTTTCTCATGTGATTCCTTACCTCTTGTCTGTTTTGGGTGGTAACGCTGAGGGTTAAGCGAAGGTGGGTTAAGTGTCACATCTCTAGACTCTCGTTGGTATTTGGGGGCTAATTTGATCCTCATCTGCTCCTGGGAGGGGCACTGAAGCTTTTCCCTCCGTTACTCTGGTGTTTTGTTAAAATGTTATGATAAATCATGAATTTATTCAAGTGTACTTAGGTAAGATTTATTTAACAGGTTTTAAAAAATTTGCACGTACAGTAAAAACCTAATTGTTTATCTAAAACTGATATTGGCAATTAGAATAATAATTTTCATTATCTTAAAAATATTTAGTAATATTCTCTTCCAGCATTTAAGGTCACTACATAGTGATTTTTCTAACTGAATTATAGCATTCCAGTTATACATGTCAGAAGTTATTTTACGAGGAATTTTTCACATTCATACTTTCCGAAGTAGTCTATATTTAATGAACATAATTTAACCTTTTTTGTTTACTCATTATTATGTATACTGATTATTGTGCTGGGGTGTGATCATTCAGTTAGGTACTTAGGGGTTAATAAACCAGGTAGGGATTTTTTTCTTCCAAAATATAACCCAGCCCAGTGTGCTTTTTTTTTGTTTTTTGTCTTTTTGTCTTTTTCCGTGTCCGGCAACGGATCGCAACCCTCAGTGTCGCCCCCGTACCGGACCGGGGACCGGCAACGGGATCGCAACCCTCGGTGTTGCTCCCGCGCCTCGCTCAGCCAGTGAGCGGGAACCGGTCTGTATGTGGGATCCGAACCCTCGGCGGGAGCGCCGCCGCGCTTCCCAAGCGGCGCACTATCCAGTGCGCCACCGGGCCAGCCCAGGGATTTTTTTCTTCCAAAATATAACCCGGCCCAGTGTGCTTTTTGAATTCTCAGGCATAGCACTTCTTTTCTCCTTCTGGGATGGCATTCTTCCTGCCGGTGGTGGGCCTGCCCGGATCCTTTCTCTTGCTGGTTTCAAGCTCCTGCAGAGTAAGAAACCAGTTAGTAAAACTTGATAGAAATGACCTGTATTATAAGAACAAAATAAACCCTAGTTTAAGGATGTTTGTTCAGAATAAGCTGCTTGGGCTCGGTCGCAAGAATGCTGATACCCATTTTGGACTTTCTTATGTCTTTCTGGTTCCCTTTTGCATTCGGAGCTGCATTCTGTATTGTCACGTTGCCTGACCACAACCGATCGCTTGCTCCGCAGAGCTTTTCCAAAAACGGTCTTGTGGGCACCTTTCCTCCTGCTTTGCAGACCATGACCGATGAGTTAAGAGTTAACATACGAGGACTTACGGGGCACCTGGAGTCTTAGAAACTGTCATTAAGTTCTGATGGCCACAGAGGACAGAACTAAACACCACGGGGGACTCTAATCTGTGTCCAACCATTAGTCTGCTTCAGTGGTTCAAAGTTATCTTTCAGAATAATTTTGGCGCCTTTATGTATGTATGCCAAATTTTGATTGGAAAGATAAATTACAGGTCAAGAAAAAAGGTCATGTGTCGAGGAGTGCAGAATCCACTGTCACCTGGTGACATGTGGAGCAGCGACAGGGCAGCTCTGTGTGGTCGGGGCCCAGCAGCCCCCTTGACCGAACGGAGGAGACACAGGCAATGCGGCTTGGTGACCAGTAGCCCCACCGTGTAGCACGAGGTCGGGACTGCAGCCCGCGGAGAGAGTGACTTTGTGCGTGGGGTGTGGGGAGGTGGAATGGAAAAGTCAGGAACGTTGGCAGTTTCAGGGTTGATCACTGGAATTTTTCCTGATTACGCGTCTTGGGTCTCTAGATCCTGTCACCTCTGGGACGAATTAATGAAGCAGTGAATGATCTCACGAAAGCTATTCAGCTCCAGCCCTCGGCCCGGCTGTACAGGCACCGGGGCACTTTGTACTTCATATCCGAGGTGAGTCTGCTCTGTCTCGAGACAGTTCCATCCACGGTGGCAGAGATTTCACTTCTCCCTTGAATTTGGCTGCTGTTTGATAGACGTGGGCTGTTCAGTAATGTGTTTACGCTACAAGACGTTTATAAAAGCATCTTCTTCAGCTGAAATTAAACCCAGTGGAGAACTTTAAGTACCGAAAACACATTTTCATTTTTGAGCTGTCAGCAGGAACTAATTCTGGACTGGCATAAAAAAGAGAGAGAAACAGAGAAGAAAAATTTGGCTCATGGGTTTTACTTCAGCCTTTCTTGCCAACGTCAGCGTAGCAAAGCAGGGGTGCGTGATAGCAGTGTGGTAGCAGTGACAACCGATCTGCAGGTACAATCTGAATTTCTTTGGGTGCCACAACCCAAGAACCACAACCTGAAATAACATGGCTTTGCAGACTATAGCTTCTCTATGTAAGTGACCCAAATTTAACAAGATTATCGTCTACCATCAGTGTTATTTATGAATGCCACAATTATTTTTGTGGGGTGGCAGTACCTTTAATAACACTTTTCTGTTGTGAAAGAAAATGTATGATTAACAAGATTATCGTCTACCATCAGTGTTATTTATGAATGCCACAATTATTTTTGTGGGGTTGCAGTACCTTTAATAACACTTTTCTGTTGTGAAAGAAAATGTATGAAAGAAATCTCAGCATAACATATTTTAAAGTTGATCTATGGCATAATTATTTTAGAAGTATCCAGTATGATAAAGTGCTGGTACCAGAAGTTTCTCTGATATATTATCACTTTAATAGCCTTTAAAATAATATTTTCATAGTTGAGACAAAGTACTTAAATTAAACCTTTGTGGGTTTTTCTCACAATCGGTTTCCTGAGAAAACCGACTATTTCAACAAGTGGCATGAGCATTCAGCTAATAATTATTTTTCCTTTAAAACCAAAAAGCGTGCAGGATAAATTGAGATTTTTTTCCCCTACCATTCAAATGTAGGAAATATTCAAATATCGAATGGATACTATTTTGTTTTTCCCACTCTTCTTTTCGTAGGACTATGCGACAGCCCACGAAGACTTTCAGCAGTCCCTAGAACTGAACAAAAACCAGCCCATAGCTATGCTGTACAAAGGCTTAACTTTCTTCCACAGAGGACTTTTGAAGGTGAAGGTGTGACGTGCAGCATGTGCACAGCACGAGGTTTCTGCTGCTCTTTCGTGGGTGGGAGGAATTTGGCAGAATTTAGTTTGACATGTTTTAAAACAATGTCTCAAGTGTCTAACCAGTCTATTTTACAGAGTGGTCTGAATTGACATATTTATTGAGCTCCTGCTGTCTGCTAGGTTCTTCTAGGGTGGGGGTGGGGAAGAGGCCCTCCAGGCAGCGCAGGCGTGAGTGATGACATGGAATGACGGGTCACTGTGCTTGTGTCACAGGGACGTGAGGCTGGAAAGTTGGCTGGGGCAGGTCCTCAGTCTAGTTACTTTGCTAAGCATTTTTTTTTTTTTTTTTTTTGGTGGCTGGCCTGTACGGGGATCCGAACCCACGACCTTGGTGTTATAACACCTCGCTCTAACCAGCTGAACTTACCAGCCAGCCCCCTCTGCTAAGCATTTTGACTTAAATTTGTAGGCCCAGAGGAGCTATGAATTCTGCACAGTTGAGATCTCACCTGCATTTTAGGAAGTAGATTCTGACACTGTGCTGGCCGAAGAGAGCAGGGACAGAGACTGAGCAGGAGACATTGCTAGCATTTAGGTCCGAGGGGATGATACCCGCCAGAGCTCTTGGGGGGTGCAGGAACAGTCAGGGACATCTCTGAGGTGGCTGGTATCGTGATGTTTGAAGACCGCCCAACCGTCGGGAGGAGGTGGCAGAGGGAAGCAGGAATCAAGTATTAATTATTATAGATCATTTTACCTGGAAAAATTTAATCTAGGTTTTATAGATTCTAAATGAATAACTCCCGTCCCATTACAAATTCCGGGTCATACACCTCACATGTCTGTCTTCCTTGGGGTTCAGAGTGGCTGCCGTGGGCTTTGACAGCAGTTTATAAAATGTGCTCGGAGCAGCTGCCCAGAGGGACTCCCGCAGCTGAGTCTGCACCTGCCCCCCGTTGGTCCAATCTTCCCTCACAGTCGCCATAAACAAAAACGTTCAGGACCCCAGCACCACACTCAATCTCTACCTCCCGACTAGTTCACGGAGGAGAGAAAGCTGAGAAATGCAGGAAATTCCAACCCATTAGCATTAAGACGTTAAAAATATTTTTATAAGTAAACGAACGCAAACAAATGATTTCACTTTTAACTTTATTTCTATAAAGCCAAGTTTAGGGATGTGGGAGGGGCTCTTCGGGTTATTTGGAAACGAGCATTTTTCAGAAAAGATCTGTAACAGAGACACTAACTACAAGTTGGACAAGGGCTAAAGTTCAGTTTGGTGTATTCCAGATCTACAGGATGGGGGCCTAGAAACAATGCTCTCGTTTTCTGAGCGTTAGAAGCCCCTCGGTGGCCCGGTCTTTCCAAGCTGGTTGGTCCTCTCTCCTTCTCCCTGGCTCACAAGCACCGCGAGCGTTAGAAGCCCCTCGGTGGCCCGGTCTTTCCAAGCTGGTTGGTCCTCTCTCCTTCTCCCCGGGCTCACAAGCACAGCGTCAGCAGGGGTGCTAGATGGGAACTCTTGCTTTGAACTTCGTAGATTCCGCTGCCCGTGGAGGTCACAGTGGTTACATGGTGTCTCCGTCCCAGTGGCCTCTCCGTGAGGCACAGAAGGAGTAGAGGGCGTCCCCATTACACAGATTGGAAAACTGAGTCAGTGGTGAAATGGCTGAATGAACGAATGAACTTAGTCTAGACACTTCTGTTTCTCTTGTTAACCATAGAGATGAGGTACTCAGTGGACCAGTGCATTTCAGCTGTCTTTATATCCTAAAGGCGCACTCTCCAGGCCAGCAGCAATGTAGAAATTAATTAGGTGGTGATGGCACATTTACTTCATGATACAGCACAGTAAAGGTATGTCAGACGGTATTCCAGTACAGATTTCACCACTGTCTGATTCAGTGGCTAACCCGGGTGTTTCGGACTCTCACGGGAAACAACATGGAAAACTTTCCTGTTGGATTCCCTCCGTTTTATCTGTGTTGTAAGGATATTTCAAAACTGTGCGTTCTAAGTCCCTACTCATGGGCGCCTTCGCTTCGGGAGTTGAGAGCGTTCTCGGGGTTGTAGCGAGCGGCTCTGCGAGCCAGCTGCTGCCAGCTGGCGAGAAGGACGGGAACCCAGAGTGGCGGTGGTGGCCCCTGCCAGAACCAGGCCACGCGCGGAGAGACCGACTCATGCGAGCGTCGTTTCCTTGTCCCCACGGCTTAAGATCTTGACTCTGCTGTGTCCCCTCTTTGGCAGAATGAGGTAGAGAGCTGTGCAGTGATTAGACAGGAACCCTGAAACCAAAGACTCTTAAAAGCTGAAGACAGATCAGACTTTGAAGAACGGTGGCGTCGAGCATGCTGTAAGTGGAGCGGGTAGCAGATGCCCTGGCGTCCACCCGGACGTCCACAGCACTCCAGACCTAACACGCCCCGCCCG